AACAAAAGACGGTAGAAAGTATTATTTTTCCTTAATTTGATAATTCACAATAGTTGTTATCTCTATTATGAACAACAAATGGCAGCTGCTTTGGTAAATTATTTATGACAAAACTCTTCAGTGGTATTATTTTTACACAAAATTTCTTTTACTGCTTAAATGTTTCAATGTCGTTAGTTACGAAGAGAGAAAATATGATATTTAGTATACCTACTGGTTGCTTTTACTGCAAATATCCCCGGGAATCTAAGATTAAAAATAAGTAAATAATAGATGCCTGCATGTTTTTAAAACTTGAGACTTGAATTCCTTAAATAATGTTTAATTACCATAGCTTGCTTCAATAAGATGTACCAGGCCACAAGTTTTCAATAAACACAAAAAAAAAAATTGTTTAAAACTGTCATTTACAATGTAGAATGAATAAAGTTATGAATTTTTGGCTGTTTTCATATCACACAGACGAAATGTTTGCATGTATACAGATGAAAAGTATACATGATGCATGAATGAAAGACTTACAACTTAACTTTATAATTGCCGTGATGACTTTTCTATCGTCAACTTCCCTTATTCATGAAGAAATATACCACTTTTAATGTTATCACTATATTATTATATCATTACCTAAATGAATATAAAAAAGGAAAAGGTGAAGATAACAAACAGTGATTGATTAAAAAAAAAAAAAAAAAAAATCTATAAGCAATACAAACCTGTGAGGAGGGCATAAAATACGGACTCCTTGAAATTACAGAGTTGGGATCAAGTGCCTAAAAGGAAAGAGCATCCCCTGTTGATCGGTCACACATGCCGTGAACCCTATGTATTGATCAGGTAGATGGAACATTTCCTAGTCAAATTCAGTATAAAAATAAAGCCCCAGCAATTGCTATAAAACAAATTAGCCAAAATACGACCCAATGGTACGAAAGCCCAGAAGGCTCACTCGAGATTCGAGATTCGAAATTCGAGATTCGAAATTCGAGATTCGAAATTCGAGATTCGAGATTCAAGATCCAAACTAACCAATCAAAAGGCGGATTCAATATTTGATTACTCCCCTTTATTAAGTTTATACTATCAAGAAATCATTGAATATATTTATAACAAATGAGTCATTTGCTTAAATAATAATGCAAGAAAAAATGTTATATGTTTCAAAACAAAATAAAAATGAATTTTGGGTAACGTTTTAAAAAATATATATGAAATCTTATTTTCCTCTTTAAAGAAAACAAGAGATACGTATATAGAATATTATATGGCCTTATCGTTGAATTCCGAAATTAGTAGGTCGATGAATTATTTAATAAGCACATTGATGAGGAAGAAAATTATTATTGATAGAAAGTACTAAGGATCGTTTTTACACTGCATAGTAGTTTAATTAAGGATACATTTCATTACATTTAACGGTGCATTTGTGCAGTTAGACTGATCTACTATTTGATATGAAATAAAATAAATTACAGTCTGAATTGCATATATAATTTTTAATTAATTTAAGTATTCAAAGCCTTAGACCAAGATAAGTAATTGAAAACTTAATTTATGTATTTCTCCTATTGGGAAACAGTGACGTATATTCCTTTCTACTAATGTGTAGGCTAATGTGAAATCACAGATTTCACTTAAAGCGCATCATTGCCGAAATGCGGATAGGCAAGGAGGGAGTCGCCCCTCTCAATAGAGAGGGGGGGGGGGGGTGCGGAGGACCACTTTCTGCGATATTGGAGACATCTATCATTGTCATTTCCCCAGTGAATATACTTATAAATCATTAAACATATCTATATGATACGGAAATTAAAATCTTCATGACCACTCTTAATAAAATTTGAGAAATTTTAAATGCTTACACAGTGCTTGGAAATTATGGAAACTTCTTTACTGAATAATCTAAATGTAATTTTTTAAAAAATGTTTTATGTTTGACTTCCTACTAACCCAAACATATTTCCTAATTTATACTCCCTATCCTAATCGTAGACTCCTGTTGCTGTCATTTTTTAATAGTCTGGTATCAACTTCAAGGTAACATTTCAATTTTAGATTTAAATAAAAAGTTTTGTATACTGTAAAAATTGGATAGGCATAAAAGTGTGGATTGCTAAAAATACTTTTATTACATTTGATGAAAAAATATTCTAGTAACTGGTAAATAAATAAGATTTATGATCAACTTTCCCCAATTTTCAACCAAATACATGTATAAATATTTCTTTTTTTTTACATCAAGAAAATGATGTGTAGGCAACATATGGAATATATACGCCACTGGGAAAGCAGACACGATTATTCTTTATCACTACTACGATGTCTTTCAAGATTTCCTGGGTACACTAAAAAGGCATACATGGACTAAGTAATTTTAATACGTACTTCTTTAGGCTATACGATTTTTTTCAAAGTCCTAAAGATGTATAGAGGGTCCGTTGTTTTGTTAAAATAATTAATTTTTTATCATTATTAAATACTTTTATATTTTTTTCTCTATAGCCATTCAATCATGTATTGGAACTTGTGTATTGATTGGTTATATTATGTGTATCTTGCAAGACCCAAGCGGTCTTCATATAGATAATTATCGAATATATAATTATTCTGCCCTTGCATCGCAAGATTGACACTGAATGTTGATAACCGAACATTTGTCTCCCGTTGTAATCAAATAAACAACAAAGCCATAGGACCCTGGGCACATGCTCCCCCCCCCCCCATTCCACTTATATTTTTTACCGATAAATTCGTTGAACCCTTTGAAACCAGTATTACTAATTATTATTAATCGCATTGCACACTCAACTTTTAAAAACCCATATAAGTAACTGATCACTTTCTAATACCTTGTCACAAACTCTATCCTCTTTGAAACCCGTATTACTAAATTAATTATTATTAATCGCTAGTCACTTGTTTTAATGCACACTTATAATTCTCAACGACTACAATACCCCCCTCCCCCTCCCCATTTGCTCTTTGAATCCGATTAACAATATTTATTATTATGACATCAAACCTGTAAACAAGGTAGATAATACGATATAGATATTCTTGATATAAATCTATTATAATATTTAAAAAGTTTTAATTTAAATTTAAGCATATTTTGCAGACCAAAAACCCAATATTTTTTTCCAATTTCGTTCTGATATATATAACACTCTTTCTTGCATTGTAATATAATAAAATGACCTCTTCGATTTGAATATATTCAACGATTTTTTGAAGGTCAAAACTTAGCAAAGGGGAGTAATTGAATCTTAAACCGCCTTTTGATTGGTTAGTTTGGATTTTGAATCTCGAAACTCGAATTTCGAATCTCGAATTTCGAATCAAGTATTTCGAAACTCGAATCTCGAATGAGCCTTCTGGGCTTTCGTACAATGGTTATATTTTCTAATAAGGTATTTGTAACGACCATAGAATTTACGAAATGCTGACTTTAAACGAGATTGTTGAAATCCCTGTAATATCAACTCATCTGTCAGTAGCCTGCCTCGGTTTAAAAATTGATAGTATTTGGAGCATGCTCCGCGTACTCATTCTATATGCTCCCAGTGGATTTGATCCGCAACAATATGTTCTACGACAATAATTATTACGATGCAGGCTAATGACTAATAAGTTACATTATACATGTACAAGGATATAATCAATATCTTTTAAAGGCAACATTGCGTAAATTCTTTGGTCGATACAATGACCTTGCCTGCAAATACAATCTGTCGTTATTTCGAATGACGACTGACGACACATGTAAACTGTTAAGACTCTACTGTAAAATTCAGGTATCTTTACTGTCGTTTTAAGTCTGGGTGCATGTAATTATTACTGAATATTTAAACATTACACCTGTTTTTAGAGTCTCCTTTTCGCTATGCTTACAATTGTATTATTTCAATGGTCTTTTCACTTACATCCAGATTGCCTACAATTCCGTCGAAAACCTTAATAGTTAAGTTCTAGATTTCTTCCATAAAAAATCAGATTGAATATTAATATATTTGTATCCATATTACTTTCCACATTTGAAATTTAATTCCGTAAATTGACAATCATCTACATAATTTAATGATATATGTAAGCAAGAGAAGAAAAGAAGGAAAAGGGGGAAAAATCTCTATTTTTAAGTTCGAATTTATTCTGACGTCATAAGTCAACTGGCGCTAAAAGCTGTCAAGACTCATTTACTAGATCTTAAACTTAATCTAAGCTGAAGATTTGTATCACAATATTATAAAATCTATAACGTGCAATAAATACCTTCTGTCGACACAGGAAACTCAGATATTTTTGATATACCTGGAAAAAAAAAACATGCATGAAAATTGAAATAAACCTTTAAGCTGTAGTTAAGATCATATTCAAATTGAAAAATGATAGCTTTTTGGAAAAAAAATCGTAGGCATTTAATGTCATATAGTAGTTATATAGTTACAATGCAGTGGATATGTTATGTGGGAGGAGAAAGACCGTTGTTATTAAAGAGATAGAGTGGTTGAATTAAATTGTGATTAAAAAAACATGTATGTATGAGGCAAATAGTTTGGTGTTTGGAATGTGCAGAAAGTAAGAACACAAAGAAGTCACATTAGAAAGGGAATAGTGTGTGTGAGGGTGTGTGTGTGTGTGTGTGTGTTTTAATATGAAGACATATGGCTTAATTTTTTTTCTAATATCAAACTTTTTTTTTTTTTTAAGAAAATTAAATATTGAAGGCATAACTAATTTTCTAAAATATAGTTTTTTTTTTTTTTTTTTTTTTTTTTTTTTTTTTTTTTTTTTTTTTTTTTTTTCCAAACAAAAATACAAAAAGACGAATTGGCTGTTCAAAAATAAGAAATTTATCTGTATTTAAGAAAGAGAAAGGTAAAATAGATGTAACACTTGTTTATTCTCCTGTGGAAAATAAAGATATGAACCAACTCTTTAATCTGTTATTGGAATCGGTAAATATCCGTAGTATTAAAAAATCCATAGCATTAAGTATGCAATCAATTCTCCAACGAGAAAACATGAAAATATAAAATTGTAAATAAACTGTTCTTACAAAGACTAATATTAGCAGCATCTTGAGGTATCAGGGATGTAAACTTCTTTGCCGTTGATACTTTATCCTTTGTCAGACAAGTGGAATTCGTTTCATCGTTTATTTTTGAAACTATACAATTTGCTACACGTTGAAAATTACTGAAAAAAAAAAACAAAAATAATGATTAACTTTGCATCAAAAGGAGTTTAATTTAATTGCTGTATGCTAAAAAGCTAGGGATTGATTTATTTATTTATTTTGTATTTTGACATTGAGACTTTATTCCTGAAAAGTGGCAAACCATTGCCGTGTAAATTTGCATTATTTCCTCAGTGAGTTTTAGTAATTGTCAGTTTATGAAGGTTTTTTCTCTTCTTTTTTTTTTTTTTTTTTTTTACATAAAATGATCCAAATGAATCAGATTTGTATTAGTTAATATATTTTTACAATGTATCTAACTATCTGATAAGATATTTCTATATTGTTATAGATAATATATATTGCACACTTAAGGAAGTTGGATCCTGTCGTCAAAAGTAATGAGAATTTTTTACCAAGTATATTTTTAGAATCTACACACGTAGCTTAATTAAAAATGAAAACAAAAAATGGGGGTCAATGCGCTTCTTTTGGCGCTACAGGGCATTTAGTTTGACCTTTTTGCACTGTAAATACATCTTACACATGATTCAATTTTTAAAGTTTTCCTTCCAATATTTTTTTATTCAAATAAATTATGGGAACAAACACAGTCTTATTTCATTTTGAATAGATACATTAAAATTTGTGACAACAAAACTTTTTAAAATTACTTCCCATGTTTAATTATTTGACCTTTTTGCACTCAAAAATATCATTTTTCTGGCATTGAAAATTTTAACAAGCAATAAAATCATTTGTAAGTAATGACATTTTACTGAATTTAAGTAGAATGGTTAAAAGTATCTTATATATTCAGAAAATAAAATAAAAAGTGGGGGCCTGTGATGTTAATTTTTAGATAATACTAAAATAGTGCTAATTTTAAGCAAAAGTTAGGGCTATTTTTTTCTGTATTTTCGCAATATATTTGCTATATTTATTAAATATGATGATAAAATTCATGATAGTTTATTTGATATATAATTTAGGACCAGGATGAAACAGTTCACGGCACAGAATAACTCTGTGTGCAGGCTGCATGGAAAAATAGGAATCCAAACTTAACATATTTCAAATACTTCGAAAGAGAAAAAAATGATTATTTTTCTTCTAAAAATCCATCCGCCACAAGATATAGTTCCTCTCTTAATGCTTTTGGTATGGAATTTAATCATGGAGTTTTAACTGAATATCGTTTAATTGGTATTGTAGAATCCAAATTTATTGTAAGAACTAAAACATTATGCAGAATTTTTCAAATATAGGTTAAGACAAAAATCTGCTCAAAAGCTCAGGAGCGAACCTCGTTAAAACATATTTTTGTAGTTTCACCTGAATACTCCAAAAAGATTTTTTTTTTTTTATGAAATGTACACAATTATCATTAAATAATTATGTATTTCTTATTCGACTTCTTTTCAGAACATGCTAAATGATAACTTACCATCTTTTCCAAATGTTTATTTTTTTTCTTGGACTATATATGTATTTTTTTTTAAATCAGAATTTGAAACATTTATAATACACAATGTTTTGAAATAAGGCCACTTTATTTGATGCGTTGCTTCCATAGTTTTCAAGTATCTTGCATCCATTGACAATGCTTCTAACTCCTGATAATCAGGGGTGTATCTTCAATTGAGTTTAACGCAGTGAGGTAACTGCCTCACTTGAATTTTAGCCATTAAAAGTGTAAAACTAGTGTTTCGTATTTGTTGACCGCACTGTAACAATATGTATGACAAACGTCAATCAACATTCGACTTAACGGTAGATTGTATTTGATAATAAGGTCATTGTATTAATCAAAGAATTTGTGAAATGTTTCATCATATTTCAGTCTTTCGACTGGGATATTATGTGTTGCCCATGTTTGGATGACTTTAAGGCTGTTTGCAATATATTCGAAAATGTTGTGTACAATTTAAATGATTTTTCCTGACTTCAAAAGTGTAATTGGGTAAATACATGTATACAATTTAACACAACTTTTCACTTCTTGAGAATCATTAACATTGAAATAAGAGTGAAATGAAAAATGCAAGGTCTATCATTTTCTTTTCTTTTTTTATTCTAATGAATGAGAATCAGGAAAACCAAGTCTTTAACACGAAAGTAATACTGCAATAATCTCCGTAAGTACATTTCCTAGCTTCAAAGGTATAGTTCCGTCTTTCTGTGTATCAATGTTTTTCTTGTTCACAGAAATAAAGAAAAATACGTTAGGCGACATATGTGCAAATATTTACCGGCACAATGTTTCTGAGTTTGACTTCTCAAGAGGGTACTGTAGATTGCAAGGGTTTCCGTAATTCACTAGTCCTTCAATAGTTGACACACGTGAATCTGTACACGGAGCTTTAATACCTGTAAGTGTAATAACTATATATTAATCATCTTTTAATTCGTTATCTACTTGCAATAACGAGCTTTAGCTATGTTTATGGAACCATTTCTAGCTATGTTAAGACTTTCCCAAGCTTTAAAATTCAATACAGAATATTACATTGCAAGCTCGATTTTGATTTTACTTTGTAAGATATGTGCTTCAGTACAGCCCAATTTATATAGAGGGTTCTGTCAGGTACATATTAATATATATGCTATGAAATCACATGACTGCGTTGATCACGTGACGGTCATTTATAATTTTTTTTTTGTTTCATATAAATTGCTTCGGCGCAGCCGATTAAAACAATTCTTTTTAACATTTTGTCATTTAAACAAACTTATCATATCTTTGTGTTCTCGAAATGGATTTGGCAAAGAGACAGTATTATTTTAGTACAAAAAATTTCATGAGTTCATCTTATTGACACAATTGAGGGTATTTTCCATTCATTATCGTAATTTTAATTAAAACAAAGCCAGTACACATTTTACCCAAGAAACATTAACTTAGAGAACAAACTCCTCTTAAAAAATTCCTTAAAGATCACAAGTTAATCTTCATTAATCGCCTGTGCCTGACTTTCATACGTATACTCTAACCACGGGTAAAAACAAAGCACATTTCAAAAGTATATTTTCCGTAAGCATTTTGAAAACGCTGAGTTTCAATCAAGGGTAACTGGGCGAAGTATTTTGAAACATTCGATCATTCAATATTTGAAAATATAACTAAGGCACTTGGATTTTGCAATAGCCTTCTGGGGTTTTTACTGCATGAAATAATGGATAAACTGCATGCCACTCCCCCGTCATAACAGCTCAAGGTTCCAGTAGCGACGTCATTTTCCATTACGACGTAATATATAGGTAGTTCAGAAAAGTGAATACACAGAGTGCACAGAGTGCACTGTGATATTCTATGGGAAGCCTTAACCCACCTGCATAATGCAATGTAATATTGCAAGATTTCATCCTCTCCTAGGAATAGGGATTTTTTTTTACTTCCTCCTAAAATGCTCGGTCTTATTTTAGCATGAAAAAAGAAAAGAAAGAGACTGATTTTTTTTTTTATTTTATTTTCTAGTTTGTAATATGAATTCTTATATACTTCAATAAAATGCAATGATAACAAACAATTATTAAGTTCAACAATCCAATCAAGCGATTGAAAGCGAGGGCAAAACATACTGTATGTGTACTTAAAAAAGCGGGCTTCATATTTTAGCGGCTTTGGCGCAGACAGCGATGCGCTAATTCATGATTACCGTTAATAAATGAATACATGTTTTTCATTTACTTCAAATATTTACTTCGATCTGCCATTTTATCAGGCCTCGAACACCGAATCCGATTTAGTCGTTATCTATTTCAACAGGCAATAGGCCTATATAGTACATAAATGTATGTAAATATTTATCCATGTTTAAAGAGATTTTTGTCCAAATTCACTTTTTAGCATCAATTTTGATTCAAAATGGGTTATTGGCACTTGTCACTTGGACCATTCAGTTCAAATGTGTTGACCCACATATTCTATATGTGAACCTCAACAATGTACATGTACGTGCGGTATTAGTTACACAATACTACTCTAACATAATTACACATTATTGATCCTCCTGCACCAGGAAATCTTAAGTTAATTGTTTTTAATTAAAAGTAAACGGTAATTAAATGCTCAACAATCTACAATCGCACAATAAATACCTCAAGGCTATCTGATTTTCAGCCAGGTGGACACGCTAATTGAACAACAATAATCTAATACAATGTTTAAAAATTATTTAGAGTAAGATATTAAATTTTACTTAAACTCAGAGACAATAAGTATTTTTTTAATTTTTATTTTTAGCTCTACATGTGTAGCGCTAATTCACGCCAACCACGCCATACCCGGTGAATGCACTAAATTTTGAATACGTTAATTTATGTACACATACAGTATATAGATCCCTGGAAATATCAGAATGGAAAACGTCAGTAATATTAATATTTCGACCCATAAACAAGTTGCACACGCAACTAGGATACATTTTTTCGTGTGCTGCCCAAAACTCTTCGCTGAATATTTGAACACATTCTAACATTTTTCATTTCCCCCAGGTTTATATAGTTTAAAATGTTAAACTGGTTACTTTTTTCTTTTATGATAAGAGTACAATCCATAGCTCACTAACTGCTGAAAGCAGGTTATGACGAATAGCGTAAGAGGAAAATTCGGTTTGGAAAGAGGTCCTTGTTTGAATTCTGATGTTATAAGGGTTGATGATATGGTGTTTTTGTTCAACGAATATTATTGTGAAAGGTTACTGGATATAAAGGATTATAACCTGATTCATGTCTGACTGTTTTATTTGTTATTATCAATGTATAATCTTCAAAATCAAATACAAAAACCCCGATTACTTGTTTATCCTATCAAGTCTTTTTGTCTATCTCAAAGACTAGATCATGAGTTACATGTAACAATAATGATTATGGAGTGTAGGCAAAACACTTATGTTTTCAAACAGACGTGAAAGTCATTATGAGAAAAAGAACATGATTGGAAACAACAAATACCATTCATAGTGAAGATTAATCAAAAGGATAAAAAATTAAAATTTAGTAAAATTCTATGCAACTGACATAAAACATCAATTTCCCAATGGACAAGAGTACTTAGTAAATGTACACATATCAAGGGTACTTACATAATTATACATAAAATAATCAACAAATTCAATAATTCAATATTATTGAATTTCAATAAAGCAATTATTGTCATGTGTTGCATATCATTTATATGACATACTCGAATAACACAGTAGAAAGTAGTGTTCTGGGGTCCGTTTTACAAAAGAACTTACGACTATGACCAAAATGTAAGTCTGCTTATAACTCTCTATTTAACACTGATGTGAAAAAGGTTTTAATCTTTTTTTTTTTTTTTTTTTTTTTTTTTTTTTTTAAAAGAATTTAAAATATTTTTATGCTAGCAATTTCAAACAGAATCATTACTTTTGCAAAATTTTACAAGCTACTAAAGTTTTTGGTCTTAGGTGTAAGTTCTTTTGTAAAACGGGCCCCTGACGTGCAGATATTATTGTGCCGTGTGGTTACATATAGGACACATGTATGTAAAGACGCATGACCTTTGGAAAACATCGAACAGATATCACGTTATTTTCTTCTCTGCATGTTAAAATTGCACATACATAAATGAATGTTTATATATATCCATATTATAATATTGTTTCATATATTATGCGAGTTTGTTAATGTAGTAGGAAAAAGTGCCACTTACACTGAGAGATAGACCTTCCCATTAATCTTTCTAAAATGTCCTGTCTTTGCAGAGCAATGGATTTTAACTCAATCCCAGAACATGGCATTTTCGTAGAAGATTCAATACGTGTCTTCATACATTCAACAATTTTCCACAAGCGACTACATCAAATAAAAATACAATTTATAAAAGCTTTTGATAAAAAAAAATTAAAAATACGAAATATAACAAGTATGCTCCTATAAGATTAATTTTTCTGTGTATTTATACATATAAATTTTCTTAAATTTGTTTGTTTTATGCAATCTAAGGATTTAATAGTGTCCACCTAGATTGATTAGGCTTTTCTAATTTTAATGGTTAATTGATTGAAATCTCCATTTTGTACTATTTTATCCAATAATAGGTTTTCCCTATGAGTGCAACTTTAAAGTTTTAACGTTTCATCTGTTCATCAATTTGTTTTTGAGGCCTCTATATGTGACTATGTGTTTCACTGAAATCTAAAGAGATCATGTATGTTTGTATGATTGCAGTTTTTCTACTCTATTGTATTTTTTCAGTCTATGGAATATTACCTTTATCTGATCAATACATAGGGTTTGCGGCATTGATGTGACCGGTCTGCAGGGGATGCTTACTCCTCCTGGCACCCGATCACACCCCTGAAATTGTTTTAGGGGTCCGCATTTTATGCCCTGTCCATAGATTTCTATTGTTTCTAGTTTGTTTGTTTTTTTTTTGTTTTTTTTTATTATTATTATTATTATTATTATTATTATTTTATCGATCACTGCTTGTAACCTTCATCTTTTTTTGTGTCTGCATAAAAAAAACCTCAGCAGATTAAAAAATATACATATTTTTTTTCTATAAATATGCAATGATTTCTTGTTTTACGAATGCTATATAAAAATATATGGCTATATCATTAAAATAAAACATTCTTCACGAAGCATGTTACTTACTGTAGAATCATCATTGTTCGTGGGGGATCAATGTTCGTGAATTTCGTGGGTCACCCTTACCCACGAATTTACATCATCACGAACGATTTCTTTTGACAACGTACTGATAAATTAAATCTCCCAAATAATCGAGCTTCCCACGAAATTACATCCCCAAGAACCAATACAATTTTGCTTGCCCACGAACATTGACCCCCACGAATTTAAAGGATTCCACAGTAGTGCAATTTTTTTTTATAATATTGACAATTTTTTGTGAGTTTATTAAAGTATACTCTATTCTTGAATTAAAATCAATGAATATTATCTGTGAAACACCATGGTTCCTCTCCATAACTACTTATTTACTTAATTTTACTTGTTTAGATATATAAAATGTCATTCGGCGAAAGTAAGTAAAGTTTGTAACTAGAAATGAATCATCATATAATTTTTGATATTATTTATGCATTATATAGAAAATCCTTCTTGATGTAAAGATAAGTTCTGGTTTGCGGAAAAATTACAAATTTACCTGCAAAATTCATTACCGGTTGGTTCAGCAGCAAAACAATCAGATGCTATTTGTTGAGTATCAATCGATTTGTTTAGACATGGGGAAACTTAAAGGAAGAAAAAAAAACAATAATACATAAAAATAGTGAACCAAATATGTATGCAGTTATTCTTTTTTCCTGATTTATTGGAAGTCACTTTGCAGTCAACATTTATGTCGATGCACTAAAATGTAGTTCACAAGCACTTACAACAAACGTCCACACCACAAAGTTCCCAACGAATGGTTGAATTATTGGTGAAGCACCATGGTTCTTCTCTGTCAAAGTTTCTACAGAAGTTCTCTTGCGCAAGACTAAACATAAAATAATTTTGTTCATGTGGGCTCTGCATATCCCATCTTTGACACAGTAACCCGGACTTTGTTACTCTTTTTGTTCCTTTGTATAAGAACCCCGGCAATCTACAGTCTTGTGGCGTAGATATCCCTTAATATTAAAGAAATTAGGCTTGAATCCAGTATATCTTTAACGTATAGTCTTATATATATTTTCATCTTATTAATACCTTAAGATAGTAAAACACACACCTGATTCAATTTTAAGTCATCGTTTCTAAAACACACCAGGATAAAAAAAATTACAATAATGTCAGTAATCGATGATCCTTGCAAGACGAGTTATGAAGTGTAACATGCAGTTGCCCTAATCTGTAAAACAATTGATGGAGGGGGATTATATGCATATTTCTCTTTTAAATGATTTCAAAGTGTACATATAGCATATTTACATGGGACTTTGCAATTCCCCACTATCTTTATTCCGTGTTTACATCACAATCTACTCAAATAAACCAACATCAATACTGATTGATTGTTGTATAACGTTCCTCTCGAGAATTTTTCACTTATATGGAGTGGAGGGCTACAAATTTTGACCTATACTCGGCACTCAGCGCCATTGAACAGTGAGGGATCTTTTGAGTGCCAGCACATACTGCGTCACGGGACCTCGGTTTAAACGGTCTCATACGAAGGGCCTGTCTCCACATCCCGCAGTGGGATTCGAACCCTCGACGTAAGGATCAACTCTTTGCTCAGCGACTCTAGTGCAGACGCTCTAGCCTCTGCGCCACGTGGGCGACGATATCAATACTTTTTTACTGAAATTTTGTAACAAACTGGTTACCTTTAAAAACAACATCACACTATTTGTAATTTAATGATATTTTTTCAAACAATCTAAATGCTCATTCAAATCTTTTTTATGTCTGATTTTACGCACACGTACTAGGGTTTGATAGGCTATATATCAAAGTCTCTGAACAAAAATTGTTCTGTTGAATTTCTTCCATTTTACACATAGAGAGAATTTTCGTATCTTAGAAAAAAATATCAAAGTTTTAAATAAAAACAGGAATTTTATGACAAAATTGGCCTCCTTGTTTTGTACATTTATGTACGAACATTTATATGAGTTGCCCGCGTGGCGCAGTGGTTAGAGCGTCTGCTCTAGAGTCGCGAAGTAAGGAGTTGATCCTTACGTCGCTGGTTCGAATCCCACTATGGGATGTGGAGACCGGTCCTTCGGATGAGACCGTATAAACCTAGGTCCCGTGTCGCAGTAGATGCTGGCACGAAAAAGATCCCTCACTGCTCAATGGCCGTAAGTGCCGAGTATAGAACAAAATTTGCAGCTTTCCACCGGCAAGTGGTGGCGTCTCCATATTAGTGAAAAATTCTCGAGAGGGATGTTAAACAACATACAAACAAACAAACAAACAAACGAACATTTATACTGCTAGCCAATGTGTCTCTTTCTTAAATTGTCTAAAGAAGATGTGGAAATACACCAAGAAAAAGTCTCTAGTTCAATTATTAATTGTTGCTTAACGTCCCTTGATAGAAATTTTCATTCTGTCATATGGCAACATATGCCGGTGAAGGGCTTCAAATATAGAAAATTAGTCTGCACGTAGGGTCACTGAGAAGTGAAGTTTTTTTTTTATTGTGCTGTCGCCTACTGTGACACGGGACTCAGTTTTCAATGTTTCAGTTTTCAACTCGAAAGACAGGTGACTTTTTTATCTAATGTCGCGTGTTTGGCGAAGAAACAGTCTATACCTTTGGAAGATGTCTTAGTTTGATGTGGCGCCGGGAACGATAACTGCACCCGGTACCTTCCTATCATAAAGCGAGCGTCCTACCACTATCTTATGATTCCAAAAATAAGAATATCAAAAATCAGTTTCTCAATTTAACACAAAAATTTCAATGATCTTTCCGAAAGCATTAAAATATTATTTTTGTAAAGCCTCAACAACTTTCATCTCATAAGAATAAAAATCATCCGTCTATCTTATAGTATGCACACACAACAAAGGGCAAAAATGATCATACTTTAAGATTAGTGAGTCTCATTGATTAACTATGAAGTTTTACTCTTGTAATATCTCTTGATAAAATATTAATGATGATAGTTTTGAAAATGGAAATTGAAAAGAATATTTTAAAATATATCTCCATGTTCATATAAATGATGTTTGGACACTCAACAGTACGAAAATATGCTAATTCAATAATCTTGATCATCATTTATTCTTGTGTTTATTTCCCTCAAACTTTGGTTTTTGAGAAAAAATATACAGGTGAACTCCAGAGAATCTCGAGCACAGATATCTCGAATACCATTAATAGGTCGAAGTGATTTGGAAGTCCCAACCACTTAGTCTTAAAGTATTTGAGAATATACGATATCTCGAGTTAAGTTTCTTACTGACTGCTTCGTCTCCTCGTCTAAGAGATTGATTAACCCATTATATGTTTGTACACAGTCAGTGCCAAACCCAATAAGTAGTAGTATGTACATCAGTAATGAATTGTTTTGAGTTTAAATCATTTTTAGCACATCTAAAAATCTCTCTTACAGGCAGAATAAACCTGAAATATGTTTGCGCTACCTGCTGTCACTGTACTGCTTTGATCTGGAAAACTTGTGGTTGTTGTTGTTTTTGTTTCTGTAAGCTCCGAAAGAACAGTTACTGAAATCTCTGTAGATAAATTTGTCCTGCCTTTGTAATTGAAAGGTAAAACATGTCTTGTTATACATTTTACATACATAATTGTCTTTAGCACATCTAAAATTTTTCTCTTTTAGGAAGAATAAACCTGAAATGTGTTTGCGCTACCTGTTGTCACTGTACTGCTTTGAACTGGAAAACTTGTGGTTGTTGTTGATTTTGTTTTTGGAAGCTCCGAAAGAACAGTTGCTGAAATCTCTGGGATAAACTTGTCCTGCCTTTGGTATTGAAAGGTAAAACATGTCTTGTTATTTACTTTTCAATCAAAACATTGTACATATGTAATTGTCTTTAGCACATCTAAAATTTTCTCTAGAATAAACCTGAAATATGTTTGCGCTACCTGCTGTCACAATACTGCTTTGATCTGGAAAATTTGTGGTTGTTGCTGATTTTGTTTCTGGAAGCTCTGAAAGGACCGTTATTGAAATCTCTGTAGATAAACTTGTCCTGCCTTTGTAATTGAAAGGTAAGCCATGCCTTGTTGTTTACTTTTCAATTAAAACATTGTACATACATGTACATAATTGTCTCAGAAACAGCCGGGAATTTATTCGGGAATAAAAAAATTGATAAGTTTTGTGACAGAAGACACTTTTTTTTGCTAATGCTTCTTTTCTATGTTGAAACATCAATGTACTGCATTATTGAGTTTTCAATTTTTCAAAAAAAAAAAAAAAAAACTTTTTGCGGTGTCGTAAATACCTTTGACTTTATTTTGTTTAGCATGCATAGGTATTGCGAAAAAAAAGACGAATAACGACCCACGTAGAATAATGATCCCCGTAGAATGATTCAATGTCGAAAAATGACCCCTTTGCCTGTAGAAAAAATGGCATCACCCTTATAATCTGCATATCCTATGTGAAAAAAAAAATGACCCCCGTAGAATAATGACCCCTTGTAGATTTTATTGGAGTTTATTTGTTTTTCTTTTGGGGTGGAGTGGGAGGGTTTAAAAAGATTTAGAATCAAAAGGCAAGGACCAAAATTCTCACCTGCGGTAAATCGAGAAAACAACGACTATGTCTTGGACTGTCTTTTATGATAAACTAGCAACAACAATCAACTTCAATCTACACTATGTGGAAATGCATCCATAGTGATTTGACAAATTAGCATCTTTTAAAGAAGATTATTTAACCTTTATATATTCAAGAGAAAGAGAGATCTATCTACCGGTTAATCAAGTTGCGTTTGAGTGCATTTTTTTTTATTCAAATATTCGAACAAGGTACATACAAATGTGTCTAATAATTTAAATAAGAAGAATTACTGCTGTTTTAGAGGCTTTTGGTCCACTTCATCAAAACAATAAGCAGTAATTAAATATCCAGTGCATATGGCAAACAAGAGTTGAGATGCAAGCAATTTTAAAATAAACTGCAAGTAAAACTTCCATGGAACCTCAAAAACCACAAAGGAATGGAGTCCACAAAAACCGTTATCAGATATCGATAGCTTGCCCCCAAAGTACACTGGTTCCATGTGCTATATACATTAATTTTACATTTATTGCATACTTAGTAATAAATACAGGGCTTTTTTGCATATGTGATATGCCTTACATAAAAGTAGCCATATCAACTCACAGGGATGATACGGATCCTGCAGGGCTGATATGGATCATCAGGGCTGATACAGTTTTATATCACACTCAGAAGATTAAACCTTATAAACAGCACTCATGATACTACACGGTTTTTCGTCAACTTTCTCTGAATTCAAATTATTGTTCTTTGATATAACAATTTAAGCTAGTAAGTGATTACTTATTTTGCCTTGTTTACTTAAAAAATGTAAGGTTCATTTTTTTAAAGAAGCTTTCCTTATTTCCCTGTGTATTACAAAGCTGAAATTCTAAAAGAAAGTTAACTTTGTACTTTTAATATCCCAACTTTGAAGGATTATTTGATATCTCTGATTTGATACAACTATGTTAAAAAGTAGGAACAGTTTTATAGCGTCATAATGTCATCAATGTTTTGTAGTACTATTACTCATCCACGAAAATGAAGGACATGGCAGATGTGTAAGAGAAATAAGTGGTGATAATTTTATTAAGGATAAAGTAGACTACGATTTTTTGGATCATCCTGTACAAGTTATTTTTTTTTAATCGTTCCATTGCCTGATTTACAGATTTGTCATACACATATGATTAACAATTTCCGAATACGGATGTAAATAAGTATAAGTATATAGTTATTTACTTCCGTGAATGAAATGTAAAACTGTAACAAAATCTGATGTCAGAAAAAAAAAAACATCAGATTTTGTTAACGTTTTATCTGTATTTTCCTCAATTGGTCTATTATTGTGTTTTCTCCGTACATCTGCATTTTTGTCAGTAGAGGTGACAATGAAAATCTTTTAGAAACATTTTGTTATAAGTACAACCTTAAT